ATAAAAAAAATTTTTGGTAGGAAATAACATTTTTGGAGTATTAAAAATAATTTTTGAGTGGAAATAAACATTTTGGGGTAGAAATAACACTTTTGAAGTGTAAATAACAATTTTCGAGTAGAAATAACAATTTGGTAAGAAAAAAAAAATTCTGAGAGGAAATAACATTTTAGGAGTATTAAAAATAGTCTTTAAGTATAAATAACACTTCTTTAGTGAAAATAATTCACTTTTGAGTAGAAATTGCAAATTTGGAGTAAAAATAACAATTTTGGACTAAAAATAACCATTTTTGAGTGTAAATAACACTTTTCGTGTTGAAATAACACTTTTCGAGTGTAAACAAGAATTTTAAAGAAGAAATCAAAATTTTATAGTAGATTAACACTTTTGGAGTGTAAATAACATTCTACATTAATGTAGAATAATTAAACATTAAGAGCAGAAATAACTTTAATTTTAACAATTTGGAGTATTTTAATTTAATTTTAATTTTAATTTTTTTTTTTTAATTTTTAAGTGGAAATAACCCTTTTGGAATTGAAATAACAATTGGAGTGAAATTTCCTTAATGGTCTAATCTTTTCCCTTTTCGGAGAAAATAATTTTCCCATCTTTTATTTTCTTTTTGATCTCAATAACAGATGGAAATTTTCTTTCTGTTATAATTTTAGAAGTAGAAATTTCTTCTTTATTTTTCTGTTAGATAGCACTCAGAGCGTCCCTGAGAGTGAAGATTCCTAGAGAGGATGGTGTGACGGATAAAAGGTTTCCTTGTTTAACAAAATAGCGTCGCCGAGCCATTAGCTTGACTGCTACCACTTGAAATGGGCACTTCCCTTCTTTTCTCAATCCACAAGACTAGAGAAGATCTTCTGATCAAAATACTAATAAATAATACTCATCATTATATTCGCGAAAATTAAATTAAAAATTTTTTTTTTTTTTGATTTAATAATCTGTTTTAAAATACATTTTGGAAAAGTATAAAGTAAATATATAATTTAATTCCGATGCAAATAACTTCTTAAATTTTCTACACTGTTAAAAAAGGGTTAAAAGTATAAAGTAAAAACATTAATATTTTTCGTGCATTTTTAATACCGAAAGTATTTAATTTTTTCCCTCTTAAATAACAAATTAACCCACTGTGAAATATTCAATTTCTAAAAATATTCAATTTCTATCCCTTTCTGCTTAGAAATTTAAGTAAAAAACAAAAATTTTTAATTTAATGTAATTTTGGAAAAAAATAAAACTTTTGGAGAGAAAATAACATTTTTGGAGTGTGAAAAATAATTTTAGAGTAGAAATAACACTTTTTAAGTGTGAACAGACATTTTGGAGAAAGAATACAAATTTTGGAAAAAAATAAAACATTTGAGAAGAAAAATCATTTTTGAAGTGTCAAAAAACAAATTATAGCGAAGAAATAATAATTCTTGGTAGTAAATAACAATTTCGGAGTATAGAACTAACAATTTTTAAAAATAATAATAAAACTGTTAGAGAGGAAATAACATTTTTGGAATGTTAAAAGAAATTTTATAGTAGAAATAAAACTTCAGGAGTAGAAAAAACATTTTTGAACTGTAAATAATCTATTTTTGAGTAGACATAACAATTTTTGAAAATAAATGAAACTTGTAGAGAACAAAAAACATTTGTGGAGTAGAAATAACAGTTCTGCGTGTAAATAACAATTTCGGAGTAGAAATAATACTTTGGAGTAGAAATAACAATTTTTAAAAATAAATAAAACTTTCAAATAGAAAAAAAATATCTTTTCAGCGCCGAAAGCATTTTTCGATAGAAAATAAAACTTCTGGAGTTTCAAAAACAATTTTTGAGTAGAAATAAAATTTTTGGAATATAATTAACAATTTTTGAATAGAAATAACATTTTTGCAAAGAATTATGAAACTTCCAGAGAGGAAATAAGACTTTTATAAGGTAAATAAGAATTTCGGAGTAAAAATAACAATTTTTGAAAATAAACAAAATTTCTAGAGAAAAAAAAAAAACATTTTTGAAGGATCGAAAGCAATTTTTGAGTAAAAATATTTTAGATTATAAATAACTACTTTGAAGTAGAAATTACAATTTTAGAAAAAAATTTTTTTTTTTCAAAATTGTTAATTTCGAATATATATTGGAGTAGAATTTTTTGTTTCTAAAAAAAATTAGCATTTTGTAAAAAACGTTTTAAGTAATTAACATAATGTAAATCCTGCAAAATATTATCCTTTTTTTAATATAAAAACTTAATTGTTTGACAAATCGAAATTATGCAGTTATTTTTTTCCCTTTTTCTAAAAAAAATAAAAAAATTGTTAGAAAATTCAAATTAGAAAATGGAAAATATTTTGCACATTTTCTACTTCTCAATTACAATTAATAAACAAAGTACAAGTTTTAAGTAAAAAAAAATGTTATAAATCAAATTTTTTTAAAGAAATTTAAAATTTATTTTATCAAAAATATTTACAAAATTTCTATTTGTTAAAAACGATTGTAAAATTATTCTAAAACATCAATAACTTCTTTTCTAAATAAATATTAAATCATTATTATTTTTCCACAGGAATTAAAATTCTTCAAAACATTCAAATTCAAACCTTTTCAAAATTCAATTATTTCTTCAAATTCATGCTATAATGCTTTTAATATTCAAATATTTAAATAATTTGAATAATAATTATTCAAATCTAAAATTTTAACTGAAATTTATTTTTAAATCAATTTTTATTAGAAAATTCTACGAGAATTAAATTATTTAAATGCAAAAATAAATATTAAATAATTTATTGAATAATTAAATATATAATTAAATATTAAATTCTCATAAAAAATTTTATCAAAACATTTTTAAATAATTGATTTCTTTTTACGTTTTTTATTAAAATTGTTTAGAACAATTACATTTTTCGAGGAATTCAATTAAAATTATATTAAAAATAATTGAAATTCTGCGATCAGTTTTCTTTTTTGAAAATAATTGAATACCTAAAAAGAATTTTATTATTTATGAAAAAATTTAATCCCTGTAAAAAATTTAATTATTTATTGAAAATAATCAAATTATTGCGAAGAAATTTATAAATAAATTAAATATAAATTATAAATTTGATTACTTTAAAAAATAATTGAATTTATGTAATCATTTATGATTTTTCCAAAATTCAATTTTTTTTAGTTAATAGTTTAGTTTTTTTCAGTCAGCCAGTAAAATTCCAATTTTGAATAATTATTGTTCTATAAGTAAAAGTTATTTTCAGTCAGACAGTAAAATTCAGAATTAAATAATTTTGCTTTCAGTAGTAAAGGTCGTTTTCAGCCAGACACTAAAATTCTACATTCGAATAATTTTAATCAAATCAAATTAATTTAACAAGTAATAGAGTAATAAAGTAATAAAGCTTATTTTTAGTAGAACATTAACATTTTTATTCGAACAATTTCATTTTCAGTAGTAAAGGTCATTTCAGTCAGACTGTAAAATTCTAATTCGAACAATTTTCGTAAAAATTAAGTTTAGTCAGACAGTAAATTTTTATAATACGAATAATTATCCGTCCAAGTAGTAAGGGTCATTTTCAGTCAGCCAGGAAAATTTCAATTTTGAATAATTATTGTTCTATCAGTAAAAGATATTTTCAGTCAGACAGTAAAATTCGTAATTAAATAATTTTGGTTCCAGTAGAAAAGATCGTTTTCAGTCAGACACTAAAATTGTACGTTCGAATAATTTTAATCTCCGTAGTAAAAATCTAATTCAGTCAAACTGTAAAATTCTAAATTGAATAATTTTCGTCTGAGTAGTAGAAATTAAGTTTAGTCAGACAATAGAATTCTATATTAGAATAATTTTTGTCTCAGTAGTAAAGGCCATTTTCAATTAGACAGTAAAATTCTAATACAAATAACTATTGTCCTATTAGTAAATATTATTTTCAGTCAGTAAGTAAATAATTTTTGTTTCAGTAGTAAAAGTCGTTTTCAGTCAGCCAGTAAAATTCTACATTCGAATAAGTTTAATCTCCGCAGAAAAAATCGAATTCTAAAATTCTAAATTGAATAATTTTCGTCTAAGTAGTAAAAATTAAGTTTAGTCAGAGAATAAGAAATTTATAAAAAATTTGTAAATAATATAATTCACATGAAATTGAGTAAATTTTTTGAAAATTATTGAAATTTTGTCAAAAATTTTATTTAAAAATTGAATTTTGCCAAGAATTTTATTAAAAATTTATCGAAATTTAAAAATCGAAAGAAATCAGTTTATACAAACGTTTTTCTTTTTTTCAATAAACTTCTAACTTTTTTATATTTAAAAGATTTCTTTTACAATAAGACTATTTCTGCTAACGATTAAAGGACATGATTTAAAAAGGAAATTAGTTTTGCGTTTAATAGATCATTTCTTTGAGTGCGTGTAGCATTTCTCAAATATTAATAAATATTAATTACCCCCAGACTACTAGGAGTATAATTCAAAAATTGTCAATTTTCACACATTTCAATAAAAAAAAAAGAAAGAAAACCAGAACAAAAATCAAATATTGAAAAAAATTCCCCTTGGGACGTTAAAATAAAAAGAAAGAGTGAAATTCACAGAAAACTAAACTGACTTTCGTGCCTCATGTGATAATGCCTGCAAGCTCAGGACATTTTTTTTTATGTACCTGTTATGTGTACATACATTACCACATATATATATAATACATATCGGTAACTCGTCCTCGAGGTTTATATCTTGATAGGAAATACCAATCGCAAGGTTTCACCCCTATTTGTGAACTCCACCCTTCAGCCAATGGTGAGCTTCCTGGCGAGAGTTTTCTGCGCGTGCCACCCTTCTTGGGTGGGACAATTCTGAAAACTACCCTCTGGATTATTGGTTACGATCACCAACCCTCCAAGGAGATTTTTAGCAACGATACCAAAGTCAAAAATTTGTCAGGAATTATAGATCACCCGCACAGTCTGGCTACAAGTTGCTTCATTTCACAAAGTGTGCAAAATTCTTTTCAATAATTTTTTGAAAAAATTAATCGGTGTGCATTTTTAATTTTTGTTTAAATTCAGTGAAAAATTTGTAGAGAAAAAAAATTATTGGTGCAATTCAGTTTTTGGAGAATTCAATTTTTTTTTAACAAAAGGTTAGTTTTAAAATAGAAATATTTGGGGTAAATTATTTTTTGTTGTAAATTTTAATATTTTTCTAAATTTTTCATTTTTTGGGGTGGATTAAAATTTTTAAATTATGAGACAAGTGTTTGTAATTATTGCAGTAGCTTCGAATTCCAGTGAATGAACTTTTTTTGTTTTCAATTTTTCGTGAGTTAATTTTGAATTCCAAAGGACGAATTTCGTTCTTTTGGTAAATTTACAATGTCAGGAGTTTAAATATTTAATATTAATTGGAGTTGCTTCGAATTCCTGTCAATAAATCTTTTCTGTTTTACATTATTCGTGAGTCAATTTTGAATCCCAAAGGACGAAATTCGTTCTTTTGGTAAATTTACATTGTCAGGGGTTTAAATTTTTAATTTTAAGGGCTAAATTTGAGAATTTTCCAGAAAATTTAGATTTAGGGGCACCAATATTTACCATGGTAAATATTGAATTTCAAAGGAAAATTTTTTGTTTCTCGGTAAATTTACATTTTTTGTCGGTAAATTTTGAGTTCTAAGGGAAAAATTTAATTTCTTTGGTAAATTTACATTCGTAGGAGTTAAAATTTTGAAATTCAAGGAAAAAATTCTGGATTCTTTCAATAAATTTAGTTTAAGGGGCAAATTTTGAGAATCAAAGGAAAAATTTGGTTTTTTCGGAAAATTTACATTTTTGGTAGATGACTTTTGAAATCCAACGGCCAAATTTACTCATTCAGTAAATTTACATTCTTAGGGCCTAAAATTTTGAAGTACAAGGAAAAAAATGAGAATTTGACAGTAAATTTAGTTTTAGAGGGTAAATATTGAATTTCAAAGCAAAAATTTGGATTTTTTAGAAAATTTTCATTTTTTATGGGTTAATTTTGAATTCTAAGAAAAAAATTTCATTTTTTCGGTAAATTTACATTCTTAGGAGCTAAAATATTGAATTTCAAGGAACAAATTCGGAATTTTTTTAAGTAAATTTTTTTTAAGGGGAAATTTTGAATTTCAAAGAAAAAATTTGGATTTCTCAGTAAAATCACATTTTTCATGGATTAATTTTGAATTCTAATGAAAAAATTCCGATTCTTCGGTAAATTTACATTCTTGGGAGCTAAAATTTTAAATTTCAAGGAACAAATTCGGAATTTTTTCAGTAAATTCACTTTAAGGGATAAATTTTGAATACAAAAGGAAAAATTTAGATTTCTCGGTAAATTAAAATTTTTTGTGGATGAATTTTGAATTCCAACGGCCAAGTTTTATTCTTTCAGTAAATTTACATTCTTAGGACTTAAAATTTTGAATTACAAGGAAAAAATTTTGGATTTTGCAAGTAAATTTAGTTTTAGAGGGTAAATTTTGAATTTCAAAGCAAAAATTAGGATTTTTCAGAAAATTTTTATTTTTCATGCGTTAATTTTGAATTCTAAGGAAAAATTTTTATTTTTTCGGTAAATTTCCTTTAATAGCAGTTAAAATTTTGAATTTCAATGAACAAATTCGGGACTTTTTCGGTAAATTTAGTTTAAGGGATAAATTTTTAATTTCAAAGCAAAAATTTGGTTTTCTCTGTAAATTTACAGTTTTCGTGAATAAATTCTGAATTCCAACGGACAAATTATCTGTTTCCGGTAAATTTTCAATGTTTGGGGTTAAAATTTTGAATTTTAAGAAAAAAATTTGGGAATTTTCCAGTAAAATTAGCTTTAGGGGGTAAATATTGAATTTCCTTCGAAAAAATTTGTATTTCTCGGTAAATTTACATTTTTTGTGGTTAAATTTTGAATTCCAAGGGGAGAATTTCGTTTCTTTGGTAAATTAATTTTAGGAGGAAAAACTTTGAAATTTCAAGGAACAAATTTGGGATTTTTCGAGTAAATTTTGTTTAAGAGGTAAATTTTGTATTTCAAGGGAAGAATTTGGATTTTTCAGTAAATTTACATTCTTATTTCTTAGTGGGCACATTCCGAATTTTAAGGGAAAAATTTGATTTTATAGACTTTAGGGAATAAATTTTAAATTCCCAAAGGAGAAATTTCATTTTTAACCATAAATTCGTTTTTCGAAAAATCGAAATTTCGAAATTTTTAAACAAATTAGTAAAACTTTCTAAGTAAATTTCTACATATTTTTGTTTACTATAATTTTCGATAACGAAACTTTCTTTTCCAGTTTTTTTTAAAATTAATGCGCTTAAAAATATTCTTCAACTTAAAATAAAAATAAATAAATAAATAAATAAATGAATTTTCAAGAATCAAAGGAGAGCATCAATCTACTGGTTCAATACAAGAAGTAAGTGGTACAAATCACTGTTTTGTCAGACAGCCGTATCAGATAGATGCACAATTTGATAAAAGCAATTATGTAAATTGTTATACTATCTACATTGTAAATATCGGGGAAAAAAAATAAATTTTAAATGACAAAAAAATTAGTGAAATCTCCATTTCGATTTTTTTTCGCTATAAATAATATTTTATATATTTTAATATTTAAAATAATATTTACGTAATAGAATATTTAAATATTAAAATATTTTCAATAATATTTACGTGCTAGACAACTTAAATATTAAAATATTAAAAATATTATTTACAGAAAAAATATTAAATTTTCTACAATATAATAATAAATTATAATTAAAAATTATAATAGGGGAATGTAGTCAAGGTTGGCCTACTGTCTAGGTAGGCCACTCGCGTTTTTTTGTCAAGTTCACTAGCGCCACCTACGCGCATTTTTGTCGAAGCTTGTCTTAGTGAAACCTAACTTTTTGTTCAATTACATTTTCGGAAAATCGAAAATTGTGTTTTCTGTGACGTCGGTACAAAAAAAGCTCAAAAAAAGTTTTGTGCATAATGTGAAAAACCATTAATAAAAGATAAAAAACAAATTGAATCGTCAAGGCAAGTATGCAGAAAATTTGTGGGACTCATGGTTGAAAGGAAAACAAAGTAAAAAATCGAATCCCGAAACGTATTTCTTTTTGTTTACAACAATTCGGTAATGTTACTTACTGTCAAGGTCGGCCACTATGTGTTTAAAATGCGCAAAGTTGAGGACGAGCTACTTCATTTGCAAAAACTGCAATTCTGTATAACTCATAATATAATTGATCATCTTATTAATATTTTTATTTAATTTTATTAATATTTTAGTGCAAAACTTTTTTTTATTTATATTTATTTTTTTATATTGTTTATTGTTATTATTTTGTTATTTCATTAAGTTACAAACTGTAAACAATAAAGAATCAATTTTCCGTAACTCCAAACATGTTATTTTATTTTTTAACGATTAATGCCCTTTGAATTTTAAACATGGCCGACCTTGACTGTAATGGCCAACCTGGACTACAAATTTTTTTTTTTTTAAATCTTTATAACTTTTTCATTTTTAAACCTGTCAATTTACTTTGTACAGAAAAAATGTTCCTATTAAACAGGACTTTCCAACCATATACTTCAATTGTCCAAATTCATTTTTAAAAAAAAGTTATAAACAAAAGTCAAAAAGGTGGCCGACCTAGACTATGTTCCCCTATGCAATTGTAATTATTATATTATTATTAAAACATTTTTTCACATATATTAAAAATATAATTATTACAATAAGTAATTATTTTTATTCCATATTGAATTATAATATTTTAAATATAATTATAGTATAATAAAAAAATATTTGTAAATTTAAATTTACATAATATTACATTAAAAATGTAATAAACAGATATAATTTACTTATTACAATTAAGATAAATTAAAATTAGGTAAATTAAATTGAATTTAATTAAATTGTATTTTTTTTCTTTTCTCGGTCAGAATAACAAGAAATTTTATTTACTATACATGTAATTTAATTTTTTTTTTTTTTTTTTAATATTTAGATTATTAGAAGGCGATTTTGAAAAGTGTGTGTTCGTAGGAGGCGACATATGCTTTTTTTGACTTTAACATATGCGTAATATGTGCTCTTACATTATATCAATTATGAACATTATGTCGACTGTGTGTAAGTAGCAATTATCGTGTGCGATGCCAGAAAAGTGTGGCCTACAGGTCACAGGTGCGTTGTTACATGTCCCATACTGTTTACAACTTAGTAAACACGACCCTTATCACGCATTTATTGTAGTCAAATCAAAAAAATCAGATTTGTCCCTATTTATTATTCTTTTTCGTTTTTTTTCAATTTTTTCTCCAAAAAATATTATTTAATGTTAATTAGCAGTAGTTTCTTCTTTTTGACTGCTAATTAATAATAATGGACTGAACAAAAAATTAATTGGTTCAAATTAAAAATTATTTGGTTTAAGTAAATATTTATTTGTTTCAAGTAAATATTTATTCAATTCAAGTAAATATTTATTTGTTTCAAGTAAATATTTATTTAGTCACGTAAATATTTATTTGTTTCAAGTAAATATTTATTTAGTCACGTAAATATTTATTTGTTTCAAGTAAATATTTACTTAATTCAAGTAAATATTTATTTGTTTTAAGTAAATATTTATTTGTTTCAAGTAAATATTTATTTAATTCAAGTAAATATATATTTAATTCAAGTATATATTTATTTAATCACATAAATATTTATTTAATTCAAGTAAATATTTATTTCCTGGATAATAGTCAAGTAATCGGTTATTTAAATCAAATAATTTTTTTTCAGTGTATAATAATAATTAATATTATATTTAAATTACATAATTATATTTTTACTTCATAGTAAAGTAACTTTAAGTACTAAGTAACTTGAAATAAAAAGATACTATTGACTATGAAGTAACTAAAAATTACTATAAGTTATAGTGAGTAATTATATTTGCTGTAAGGTAAAAATTAAATGTTACATTAACTTTTAAGTTACTTTAAATTTTAAGTTACGTTAACTTTTAAGTTACATGAACATTTAAGTCTTATTAACTTTTAAGTAACATTAATTTTTTAATTTTTATTAACTTTTAAGTTACATTAACTATTCAGTTACTCCAT